AGGGGCAGGGTGGCCAGACAGCAACTACAGGACACCCCGTTAATTTTGAATGAATAATATTTTATTTTATTTATTTTTTGTTTGTTTTTATTTTTTAAATATGTTTTTATTGATTTTTTTTTAAGAGAAAAGAAAAGAGAGACAGAAACATCGATGTGAGAGAGATACATCGATTGGCTGCCTCCTGCACGGATGGAACCCGAAACCTGGACATGTGCCCTGACTGGGAATCGAACTGGGACCTCCCGGTCCATGGGACGATGCTCAGTCCATTGAGCCACGCTGGCTGGGCGAATAACACTTTAGCATGTTTGTTCCATGGCAACCCTAATAGGGTGGCATCCACTGATTAAATATTTTCTTGTTCTCCCATCCCCTATATATTTAAAACAGAAAGGAGATGCCCAGGCCAGTTTGGCTCAGCAGTTAGAGCATCAGCCCATGGACCAATGAGTCAGTCGCAGGTTCAGTTCCAGTCAAGGGCACCTCCCTCGGTTGCAGTTCGGCCCTGCTCCTGGTCGGGGCTGTGCAGGAGGCAACCAGTCGACGTGTCTCCCTCACATTGATGTTTCTCTCTCTCTCTCCCTCCCACTCTATCTGAAGATAAATGGAAAATATCCTCGGGTAAGGATTTAAAAAAAAAAAACACAGAAAGGAGAGAAGGAAAAGGTAGCAGGAATGAAAGAAGGGGGAGAGGAAGGAGGGAGGGAGAATGGGAGAATGTGAACCCCTAATGGTTAATTTCTCACTAATTCCCTATCCACACTCCATCCTTCCTGCTCCTCTCTCCTCACCATCACACGACACTCCCTAACTATTCCCTACAATATGTCTTCAAAAAAATCAAGTCAGAACAAAGCCACACACAAACCAAACCTCTCTGGTTCCTTCAACCTCAGACAGCCTTTTCCTGTGTTATGTGTCCCTCCAGCCTCAGCGTAACTGCACACTGACCTCATTACTTATCTCTCCTGCTGCTGCCAGACCATACCTGCCAGTTGACCCCACCTCTGAGCTCCCTGCTGTCACTTTTTAAGGCTCTTACTATGATTAATGCACAATTCTTAAAGCATCCACTAATTAAGTGACAGGTGTCAATAAATCCCGTCACAGTAACATTTCAAAAAAGCCTTATAAAGTGAATCAATGCCTGTTGTTCAGCACCTGCTGAGCACTAATGGTGTTTGTTCTTTGACGGATTTTTCTCACACATCCCACCTTAGGTCTGGCTGAAGCTGAAGGATCCTAGCCCCCAGCCCCTGTCTCCAGCCACAAGCTAACAGCACTGCAGAAAAGGCTAGACACAAGACAAGAGCTCCTTAGAACTTCGATCAGATCATGACACTGTTTAAATCCACCTTTGCTCTCCCATTACATTTAAAATAAAATACAAAATGTTCACGATGGCCTACTCGTTCTGTAGGATTTCCTCCTCCTCACAGCTCGCTCTGTCCCTCACGCCCTGAAATCCAGCCAAGGGGAACCCCATCCTGCTCCTGGAAATGCCAGGCCTTTCCTGCCTCAGAACCTTGCACTTGCTTTTCCTTCTGCCTGGAAAGCCTCCCCTGCCCAACTCTTTGAGTGGACAAATCCCTCTGACCCCTCAGGACTCAGGTCTAGGGTGCTAGAATATTCTATAGCTTGAGACTTGTGCTCTTTACTGACTGTATGGATACCCCACCTCAGTAAAAGATCAAATATAAAGTGGGCCACTGATGAGTAGTTCACCACCACATCATTTTTTCTTTCCTGACAATGATCACAATCTAATATTCATGTTCATTTGTTTACTCGTCCACTGTCTGTCTTCCCCTTGGATCAGGACTTGACGAACCGTGGCCCACCGGCCAAATCCAGCCACCATCAGTTTCTGTAAATTAAGTTGTACTGGAACTTAGCCACACCCGTTTCTTCTGCACTGCGCGGCACAGCTGAGTGGTTGTGACAGGGATTGCACAGCCCTATGTGACCTACAATGTTTGCTAGCTGCCCCTTTCCAAAACACGTTTCACAGTCCCTGCCTCAGTCTATAAGTTTTATGAACGCAAGAACTGCATCAAGTGTCCGCCTACATTTTCAGGGTCCAAACAGTGCCTGGCACAAACTCAGCAACCTCTCAGGAAATGCTGGCTCCCCATTATGCCTCTAACTCGCTGATCCCCAGTGTCATACCCTGGTTTGCCCTTTCCCTCCTTGGAGCCTGTCTCCTGGCCAGTGCCTGCAGACCGAAGATTCTTGCCATCTGCCATCCTTTCCTAGTCCTGCCTCTGCTCTGTGTCTCCAACTGGCGCTTAAGTAACATTTCCAGAACCAGAATTACTGGGTCAAAGGATATTTTCTTTGAGTTCATATCCATATTGTCATTCTCACTTTTTAAAAGGCATGAAAACCTCTGGATAAAGGTCTCAGAGTAAATACACTCATAATCCTCTTTGCTATACTCCAAACCCATAACAATGAGCTATAAGATATTAAAATACATATTTTTATGCTTCTTTCAAGATATAAGAAGAAATCTCGGCAGCTCAAACTGAGAGTAAAACGTAAACAATAAGCAAAGTATGAAGCCACAGGGACAACAGGGGGCACTGGAGCCCAGCAAGAGGGGCCGCAGTTGAATACCTTCCAGAACAGAAATCTGAGCTGGGTGATATAACTCCATCCATGCATCTAGAATTGTGGCAGAAATACAGTACCTGCTCGGGGCCAGTGTCACAGCAGAGTCCCCTTCTGGTCTGCACCAGGTGAATTGTGGAGAGTTGCCATTTCAGAAATGAAGAACTCTGAGCTGAGCAGCAAACATATGGCATGGGTTGAGTCTGGTCAACCCGAGACCAAGGCTAAGGCAGCTGAGAAACGGCTTCACAGATTGGAGAAGTATCGAGAAAATTCCCACACAATAGGAGCTTTCCAGGAAAAGTAAAAAACCACACTCAGTACAATGAAAATAGTCACAAAGGAGAGATTTTTATCCTGAGACGACAGAAAGGTAAAGTTCTGTCTAGACTCTTCAAGAACGTTAAAGAAGATAACATCAATAAAGTCAGAATAAAAGATCATAAAACTAAAATAGGTAAAAAAAAGTTATCCACCTCTCAGCTTATGACAATGAAACCGTACTTAAAGGAACTGCACTTCACCACACTGACAGAAGAGGGGGATCTTGAACCAGGAATGGTAAATTATCTAACTCCATGAAATGAAAACCATCACAAAGCCACACAAAGCTACTCTAAGAGAGAAAAAAAAAAAAAGAGAGAGAGAGAGAGAATAAAAGCATCTTAGCTGGAGAAAATTCTTAAAAGAAAACAAAACAAAAAAAAAACCACCACAAAACACAAAATTCTAAATTGGATTAATATCTTAAAACAAGCATTTGGAATATGAAAAAAACCTTAAATTGGAAATTCAAAATTCAAGAATAGAAATGGTCAAAGCAATAGATACATAGATAGATAGACAGATAGATAGATAGATGACAGATAAATTGATTAGCATAATAATTGACATATAGAATGAATGGAAAAGAGTAGAAAGAAGTTCCTGAAATAGACCCATACATATCATCATTTAATATTTTGTAAAGGTACCAAGGTAATTCAATGGGGAAATAATAGTATTTTTGACAAATGGTGCTTGAACAACTAAATATCCATATTTTAAAAATGAACCACAATATTATTTTACATCATACATAAAATTTTTTTAAACGAATCATAAACCCAAACATAATACTGTAAGTCCATACGTAACATCATCAATAGGTACTGCAACTTTAAGCGAAACAATGCATAATGAAGTCAATCTAATCATAATCTAATTGATATAAATAACAGTTAAGTTTCCAACGCATCTCATCCACATTATAAAGAAATGATATACAAGGAAACGACTTTATTTGAGGACATGACGTATTTAAAGATATATAATTTGTAGAAGAAAATATTTGTGACCCTCAGGTAGGCAGAGATTTCCTAGATTGAGCAACAAAAGCACAAAACGTAAATTGAACTTTATCAAAACTATAAACTTCTCTTTCAAATACATCATTTTAAAAAAGGAACTGTCAAGCCATATAATAGGAGAAAATATTCATAATACATACATAAGACCAAGGACTGGTACTAAATTATGTAAAAAAAAAAAAAAAAACTCTTACGACTCAATAAGAAAACAAGACTACTCAATTTTTAAAATTGGAGAGGAAGAAGGATTGGGGAAGAAGAGTCTCGAGTAAGCTGGTATGGAGTCCTGAAGCCAAAGTCATGCTCCTCGTGATGAAATGGGCTTGCCTTAATCTCTCTGCTTTGCTCAGTCACTGGAGGGAGCAGCCCTGGGAAGCAGGACTCGACACAACTGTGACAATGGACCCAGAAGGGCAGACATTGGGGCCAGCCAGGCAATTTTGCTCTCACAGTAGGAAACCTGAGTGGTACATTTTTATAGCCACTTGTCCTCTTTCTCTACATTATGGTCTTCTGGCCCCTACTCTCCCAAGTATAACTTTTCTCTAAGCCCATATTCCTCCTCTATAAAATCAGAGCTTTGATAACAGAACCTTAAGCATTCTTCCATCAGACAAAGGTGAGGAACTCCAGCTCTGTGACCCAAGAGGCCCTCTTGAAATTTCACAACAGAAAAATATTATTCTCACTGTTGCTAGGGCCCACTCCTTTTCTCTAGTCCCACATCCCCTAGCATGGTGTGACGGCGTGTACCTCTCTCAGGGAATTCTGCCCCATTCCTATGCTGTAACAAGATGCTAGAAGGCAGAAATCCCATGTTACAGCATCAGCCGTGTGTGTGTGTGTGTGTGTGTGTGTGTGTGTGTGTGTGTACGCTTATTTTTTTACTGTTAAGCTTTCAAATGTTTTAAGCATCTCTTCTTTTTCTTGGAAGACCTGGTGATTCTATCATCAATAGTTTTCTGAAGATTCCTCTGGTCTACATGAGCTGTTAACCTCTGAAGTTGCTATGGAAACCGATGTTTTGTTTTTCCATATTATAGGCAAGGTGAGTGGCAGCTGCAGATATTATGCTGACCCGAGCTGTCTGTCTCTCCAGGTTGCTCTCGTGCAGTTGGAGATCCCATGGCTGCCACCAGCCACAGCCCTTGGAAACATGCTGTGTGTTGGGTTTTTCAAAATAAATTATTGATGCAAAGGAAAGAGAGGCTGTGATTCCTGTCTCAAGGAGAAGCAAATGGGGCATTGGAAGGTATGAAACAGTGAATAAAAACAAAAACACCGAAACATATTAAGTGACAAGAACAGCTTTGCCATGTTCACTCAAATTGTACTAAGGAAATGCTCTCTGAAATTCTGTGAGGAATAAGAGCCCTTATTTCTATAGACAAGGTCAATTAGTATTTGGCTGAATGAATGAATGGAGAATGGGAGACAGGGTAACCCTGAGACAGTGTTGGGTAAATTGGTCATGCTTTACTACTCACGTGGATTATAGAAATAAAAGGGGTTCATCACCCTGTGATTAGCCACTGACCCCAGCTTTTCATCAGCTCTGTTCCTTAAACCTTGAGAGATTTCACTGTGAACCATTTACTTACTTCTCAGAATTCTGTTTTCTGGGCTACAGGGAAAGTTGGAATCTACAAAAATATCACACTGTGAACCAGCTCAAAGAAGCTGACAGCAACATGTTGTGTAGGCCAGTGGCTTTCTGCCAAACAAATGTAACCACTCTATTCAGGTATTGCAATCTCTCAAATGTAAAGTAAGGCAGCATTAATTTTTCATGTCCACATTTGAATAGCTGGAAATACTGGGCTCACTGCTAGATCTCAGACTCTTGTAGGAGACACAAAGATGGTGAATCCCCAGGTCCCCTTCAGGAAAGGACTTTCCAGGATGCTGGGAGCGCTGTCAGCACAGAACCTTCAGGTGTCAGCCCCTTCAGGGTCAGCCTCGCTACAGTGAGGTATGTTGCCTAAGGCCACATCCTTCCTGGGGTAGCTTATCTTCCATCATGGATGGAAGCAGAAGTATAAAGTCCCAGCAATATTTCAGCTCAATATGGGACTTCAGTGCTTTAGGGTCTAGAGCTGCCTGTAGGGTTAGTTGCTGCTGTTGGGTTTACATCTCAGTTCACCCTCTTTCTCAGTCCAATCCAGCTTCCTTCTCCTCCCTGCCACAGGTGTTGATCTCAAGAGTGCTTCCTACACACTGAACTCCATCTCAGAGTCTGCTTGCCAGAGGACCCAACCTGCAACAGCTCCTCCCACCCCCTGCCACCTAGCACTGCCAGATAAAATACAGAAAGCCCAGTAAATGTGTATTTTGGATAAATAATGGGTAACTTTTTAGTGTAAGTAAGTCCCAAATACTGTTATGGCTCTACCCCGTATGCCTTTTATGATGCTTGGTCTAAGAAATGTTTGTTAGGTGAAAGAGAATGCTACTATCTCAATGCTATATCCCACTGACCCGAGGGAGCTTGTTACAATGCATATTCCCAGGCCTCACCAGGCTTCCGGAACAACGACCGCTGGGGCCAATCTCTAGAAATCTGAATTTGTAACAAGTTACCTGGGTGATTCTTCTGCTCCCTAAAGTTTGAGAACCTTCTACATTAAGAACTTGAACTAGTTGCCCTGGCCGGTTTTGCTCAGTAGATAGAACACCAGCCCAGGGACCAAAGGGTCACAGGTTCGATTCCCCATCCTGGTCAGGTTCTTATGGGAGGCAACCAATCAACGTGTCTCTCTTGCATCGGTGTTTCTCTCTCTCCCTTCCTCCCTCCCTTCCTAGCATTCATTCCATCTAAAAATCAATAGAAAACCCTGGCTGGTGTGGCTCGCGGGGTTAGGTTTCATCCGTGCACCAAAGGGTTGCCAGTTCATAGTCAGGATTTAGGGTTCGATCCCTGGTAGGGGTGTGTAGGAGACAGCAGATGGCTACTTCCCTCTTCCTTCTTGTCTCTCTAAAAATAAAAAAAATTTTAAAAGGTTTTTAAAAAATCATTAAAGGATTGAAAAAATGGTGGCGGAGTGAACAGAAGCTGCACAGACCGTCTCCCAGAACCAAACTGGAATTACAACTATAACACAGACAAATCGACTGGAAAAACCAACAGAAAAGCAGCTTGCGAGGACCATACAACCAGGGACACTGACTCCATCCCGGTAGGATTGCGAAGGCGCGAGACGGGGGCTGGGAGGTCACAGTTGGCAGCTCGGCAGCAGCCTCAGCTGTGAACGGCGCCCTCGGGTTACACTCCCAGGCGGCTCCACAGCGCAGAGCCGGGACAGAGGCTAAAATAGCCACAGCCACTCACTTTGGGCTCCGGAAGAGGGAGGGCAGACTGGACTGGAACTGTGAGGGGACACTTGGGATTTGGAGGGCACTCAGAGCTTTTGCTGAGTGCAGCCACTCAGGACAGTGGCCATATTGCTCCTTCCCAGGGCTCTGGGGAGAGGCAGCAGCCCCTCCCTCAGAGATCCAACCCCACCCTGTGGGCCATTGAAGTGCTAATTGAGGCTCATTAACAACCAGCATCTGCCCCACCCCTCAGTGAAGTCCCCTTATGCTGAGCACCTGAGGGAGTTTTTCAATCAACTGACAACCCAAAACTCATCAAGTAACCTCGACTGCTAGCCTCCAGGCAAAAAGCTAGAGGATAACAGTACCTTTCCTGGGCTGGCAACTTTAACCAGGAAAGTAAGACTTGACAGTGGTATTTAACGTGGGGCCTCCCTCGCTCATCTAAACCCAGGAGAGGGAGCCACAAACAGCAGAACACCAACACCCACAGGGAAAACTTGACAGGCTCCAAAGCCCACTGTGATAGCCAAAATGGTAAAACACAGAAACAGAAGCCAAATGAAAAGGCAAGAGACCTCCACCGAAGACGAGATCAATGTGGAGCAGTTAGGCATGTTAACAGAGCTAGAATTCAGAGCCATGATCTTGAGGAAGCTGAACAGCAGGAGTAAGGACATAGAGAAGCTGAAAGTAAGCCAATTGGAAATTAAAAACCATCAAGAAGAGATACAAAAAATGACATATCAGAAATGAAAAACACATTGGAAGGTTTAAAAAGCAGAATAAAGGAAGCTGAGGACCGGATCAGTGAATTAGAAAACAGGGTAGAAAAAATCAACCAATCAGAAAACCAAAAGAAAAAAACGATTAAAAAACAGGAAGACAGCCCTGGCCAGTTTGGCTCAGCGGTTAGAGTGTCGGCCTGCGGTCCGGAGAGACCCGGGTTCGGTTCCCGCTAAGGGCATGTACTTCGGTTGCAGTTTGTCCCCGGCCCTGGTTGGTCGTGCGGGTGGCAGCCACTCGATGTGTCCCTTCACATCGATGTTTCTCTCTCTCTCTCCCTTCCTCTCTCTCCCTCCCATTCTATCTGTACAAAAAATGGAAAAATACCCTCGGGTGAGGATTAAAAAAAAAACCAGGAAGACAGCTTAAGAGAACTGTGGAACAACTGGAAACGAAATAATATTCGCATCATAGGAGTCCCCAAAGAAGAAGAAAATGAGCAAGGGATAGAGAATATATTCAAAAAAATAATGACAGAAAATTTCCCTAATTTGGTGAAGGAAGAAGGCATTCAAGTTCAAGAAGCACAGAGAGTCCCAAGTAAGAAGAACCCAAACAGGCCCACACCAAGATACATAGTAATTAAAATGCCAAATATTAAAGACAAAGAGAGAATCCTAAAAGCAGCAAGAGATAAGCAACATGTTACCTACAAAGGAAACCCCATAAGGCTCTCAGCTGACTTCTCACAAGAAACACAACAGGCATGAAGTAATCAAGGTCATGAAAAACAAGGATCTGAATCCAAGACGACTCTACCCAGCAAGGCTATCATTCAAAATAGAAGGTCAAATAAAGAGCTCCCCAGACAAAAAAAAAAAAGGCTAAGGGAATACATTAGCACCAAACCAGCACTGCAAGAAACGTTAAAAGGACTGTTGTAATTAGCAGGATAAATGGGAAGAAAAATAGAACCACACTAAACAAAAATGGCAATAAATAAGTACATATCAATTATCACCTTAAATGTAAATGGATTGAATGCTCCCATAAAAAGACACAGAGTAGCTGATTGGATAAGAAAGCATGACTCATCTATATGTTGTTTTCAAGAGACCCACCTCACAACAAAAGACTCACATAGGTTGAAAGTGAAGGGATGGAAAAAAATTTTCCAAGCAAAGAAAAGCTGGGGTAGCAATACTCAGATCTGATAAAATAGATTTCAAAATGAAGGCCATAACTAGAGACAAAGAAGGCCACTACATAATATTGAAAGGATCTCTCCAACAGGAAGATATAACCTTGATAAACATATATGCACCCAATACAGGAGCACCAAAATATATTAAAAATCTTCTGGAGGACTTCCAAGGAGAAATCAATAGCAATACAATCATAGCAGGGGACTTCAACACCCCATTGAAACCACTGGATAGATCCTCTAGACAAATTAGCAAGGAAACAGAGACTCTAAATAAAGCATTAGACTAAATGGATTTAATAGATATCTACAGAGAATTACACCACAAAACTACAGAATTCACATTCTTCTCAAGTGCACATGGGACATTCTCAAAGATAGACCACATGTTAGGACACAAACTAAGTCTCTACAAGTTCAAGAAGATTGAAATCATATCAAGCATCTTCTCTGATCACAATGGCATGAAACTAGAAATCAATCGCAACAAGAACATGTAAAGACATTTGAACACATGGAGGCTAAATAGCATGTTATTAAACAACAAATGGGTCACCAAGGAGATCAAGAAAGAAATAAAAACTTCCTGGAATCCAATGAAAATGAACAAACAACACAAAACCTTTGGGATATAGCAAAAGCAGTTCTGAGAGGAAAGTTCATAGCACTACAGGCCTACCTCAAGAAATAAGAAAAATTTCTAATTGACTGTCTAACCTCACAACTTAAAGAACTAGAAAGCAAACAAAAAGAAAACCCCAGAGCAAGTAGAAGAAAGAAAATAGTAAAGATCAGAGCAGAAATAAATGACATAGAGACCAAAAAAACAATTCAAAGGATCAATGAAACAAAGAGCTGGTTTTTCGAAAAGATAAACAAGATTGATGGACCCTTAGCTAGACTCACCAAGAAACAAAGAG